ATGTGTATTCTGCAAAGAATAATGTAAACTTGAAATATCCAATATTGTTGTAGGAGTTACAGTATCTACACAGTCAATATTTTATTTCCTTCAGAAGACAAAATAATTAGGCTGCTCTAGGTAGTAACTAAGGCTTTTGTGCCAAGATTCAGTTCAGGGAATAATTTGTCTCAGTTTTATAGTACTAGTTGGTATATAGTGAATACAACGTATGTACAGCAGAAAAATAAACTTACTTTTCTGTAGCACAGTTGGAATAAAGCTTACATGGTATTTAAGGATCACTTGGCTCTCTGAGGATGAGACCATTGCTTACACCGTGGCTCATTCCTGTCAGACCCCCTGAGTTCACGTGTAGCTCTAGAGCAGGTCACAGTGACCAGACCAGCAGAGCAGCATCCGAGCAGCCCCCCAGCCAGGAGGGAATGTTTGGGGTGGGTTGGAGCAGACAGGAGCTCCCTGGGTGCTGGCTGTGATCAGCACTCCTGCCACCCTTGCAGGACACGGCTCAGCTGTGCTCCCAGGCCCTGGCAGGCTTCTTGCTCCAGGGGGAACAACTTCTCAAGCAATGGCTTCTGTGTGCTCACTGTATGTTTTTACTTGTCAGTTAATTTTTGCTCAGGGCAGTACTGGAGGTTTGGAGAAAAAGGTGGTTCCCGTGGGTAGATCACATGGCAGATCCTGGAGACTTGTTTCCCTTCAGTAGTGCTGGGGAAGCCCTTACAGATAAAGACTGAACATATTTATTTAAAATAGAGTAGCACTTCTCCTGATCAGGAAAGATTCTTCATTTGTGCTCTACCTGGATTCGTTTCTGTCCCTGTTTTTGCAAGTTTCCACATTGTTGTTATTAACCTGAACCAACTGTTCAGGCTGACAGGTCACTTTTTTGTTTCTTTAAATCACTGGTAAGTGAATGCAACGTGGAGCCTTGATGAACTGAGCAAACATTGCACTGTGGGTACATATGCGTGTTTGTCTTTGTTGATGCACTATTAGAACCGAGGGGCTGTACATAGAATTTTGCTTTGGAGCAATATTTGCAAAACTTGAAAACTTCTGTATCTTGGTGTTTGGAATAAATAAATAGGTTTTTGTTGGATAAGTCTTAGTAAAGTCTTTGTTTCAATTAATGATTGCTCAATAAAATAACTTTGGACTTTTTTGCTTGACATCACATTGAAATGCAGGTATTGTAGTTTGTCAGGTATATAGAACTTAACTGTTCCTGAAGTCTGGAAATTATTATTTTCCAGATTTCTGTCATATAAATCTGGAAATAGGCAGACTTTTATGTACTGGGTTTTGTTCAGTATTGTTTAATGAGGAGCTTGTACATTTTATTCCCAAATCCTAATATATGTAATGGATTAGTACCCGATACGTGTGATCTGACCCTCGTCTTTGTTCCATTTGGATGAGCAGCCTGGCGGGGCAGAGGCAGTGCAGGACTAGGGATGGGCTGAAGGAAGGAGCTCGATGCATTTGAACAATCCATACAGAGAAAACACGTGGGCATGGGAAGGGGAGGAAGCTGGTGAGTGCTGGAGGAGCAGCGTACCTGGCACAGGCTGCCTGAAGGCAGGGCAGGCATTGGTGTGCCTTCAGGTGCATTTCTGGTTCAGTCTCTTCCCCTGTTTCCCCAGCAGGAGAGCAAGTGTATTCCCTGCTCCTAACAGGGAATTTCTTTCTCAAAAAAAGCCACTATTGTAAAACTGGATTTTAAGGCTGGAGGGCACATCGCTGCTGGAGCCTGGTTTGTGAGCCACTGGTGGCAGATCCCGGCATGTCTCATGGCTCGTGCAGGTCTTTGCTGATCACTTACATGTCAAAATTGGGCTTTGAAGTTGCGGTCTGAATTTGACATAATTCAGTGGTATGTGTGCCATGGCTTGCCATGTTTTCAGGAAAGTGTGCCCTGGGATTTATTTCCTTGCTTGGTCTGAAGGCTCCTGCAGATGCTGACTCTGGCAGCAGAGGCTCAGTCAGCTGTCAGCCTGCCTGTGGTAGAGTCACCTTGAAGCTGCTCAACTGAAGAGATCAGACACAGCCACGTTACTGTTCTCACTGTTAATTGCCCAGAAGAGGATCTGTGATTGCAGGATCTGGTGTTGATCAGGGTGCAGCCCATGGCTGGTGTTGGTGCTCGTGCTGGCAGTGCAGCAGCCCTGCTGGCCCTGGTGCCGCATCCGACTGCAGGAGTGCTCGTGCCCGGGGCTGCCTCTGCTTCCTCGGCAGAGTTCTTGAGCACTGCAGGCCACTGCAGTGGTTCAGCAGACTGTTTCATATCTGTGTGCTTAATCCTTCAGGGTGCACAGCAGTTCTTGTGAAGTGAAGGAACTAGGTACAGCTCTTGTTCTGGGTAAAACCTGCCACAGGTACCCAGAACAACGTCCTGTTTGAACAGACAAGGTAACAGTAAATACCACATTTTCTTTCCTGGTAGAGCAGAGATGCAGATAGAAAAACTGAGAGCAAACCAGCGAAACTGGGATTCATCCTGTCCTGCAGCATGTTGCTGCTGGTGGTATTTGTGTGCCGTCAGGTTTTTGGACAGGAGGGGCTGGATGGGGCCATGGATCCTTGGAATGCTCCACACTTGGGCCTGAGGCCCTGCATGGCCCCGTTTCCTATCGAGGGGGGGGAAATGTGAGCTGCATTGGGCTCAGGAATAGGAGCTGTGTGTACCTTCTGGGCTTTCAGACTGGTGGCTTTAAGTCCTAGAGCTTGAGTAAGGACATGGCAAAGGACACTAGGGAAGGACCTGCTCCTAAAGGGATGGTTTCTGTGCCCTCTTGTGTCTGTTGGGGTGAGGGTTGGCTGGATGCTGCCCTGAGCCTGGGCTCCAGGCACAGCTGTGTCCTTTGCACAGAGGCTCAGAGCTGATGGAGACACTGCCTGCTTTGCAACTCCTCTTAATCCCTTCAGAAGTCCCTTTGATCCCAGCAAATGCTGGGCAGGTGCTCCAGGGAAAGATGCTCAGTTTGGTTTGAGGGGGATGAAGGGCAGTGCATAGTCTTGTCTGGCTGGGTCGCATATCTGGGTGTCAGTAGGTACTTGTCACTTCAGAAGGGGGTGGTGACAGGGCTCTGGGGAAGGTCGTGCTGCCCACAGTGTGGCTCACGTGGCCGCAGCTCACAATCCCCTCAGGAGAGAAGCTGGGAAGCTCCTCTCCCTGTGAGGGTCCTGGGCAGTCAGAACACCACCAGGGAGGACCTGCTGGCTCTCCAGGGCTCCAGCTGTGGCTCCTCCCCTGCCCTGGCCCTGGTGGGTCTTGTCAGGGCTTGTTGAGTCCCTTCAGAGCCCTCGGTGTCCCTGTCCTGCACTGCCTGGGACAGGAGCCCCGTGGCCCCCCTCCCTGGCTGAGTGAGCACTGCTGCTCCTGGGAGCTGTTGGACCCACTCTCTGCTTCTGTCACCTGCTAAAACCTGCCTTGTACCCACAGGGTTCAGAGGCTGGGGTGTTCAGCCCTGGGAGGCAGGGAATGGGGCTGGGCCATTTCCCAGCATGAGTGGCACGTGCCCAGAACAAGGAGCTCTCAGGACAGGGAAGGTGGTCTCAGAGGCTGCTGGTGATGCGGCAGGATTTGAACAGCCTTTCCAGCCACATCTGTCCTATATTACCTGGCTCCAGGTTAAAAATAACAGGAGCAGCAGCCTCTTGATTGTGGCAGTAGAACCACCCATGTGTGTAAATGCATCCAACAACCTGGGTGCATGGTGGAGGAAGGAGACCAAGACCCTCCTCGCTTCACACAACGTGGGTCAATGGCAAAAGTAAAGGATGCAGAAACCCTCCTGAGTTGCCTCAGGAGCCCCAAGGGTGACAGCAGGAGCAAGGCCAAGGCTGAGGGGCAAACCCCAGCTTCTGTCCTGTGCTGAAGCCACCTGGGCTGAAGGTTGGGGCTGAGCAGGTCTGTAAAGCTCTAGGCAGAGCAGGAAATGAGAAAGTGATGGTGGGTTGCAAGAGTGAGCTCATCAGACAGGAACAGGAGGAGGGGATTGGAGCATGTCCAAGCCTGGAGGAAGGGGGGTCCTGCTGCGCTGGCCTTGGGCTGCAGAGGGGGGAGGAAGAGAGAGGGGATAGTGCCGAGCAGTGAACCCCGTGGCCACAGAGGAACTCCTGCTTTGCTGATAAGGGCCTGTTGAAAGTGGAGGCTCATGAGTGTGGCTGCTCTGAGGTGTTTCTGCTGCTGCCCAGGCCCCTCAGCCCCGTGGGGTAGCTGAGATCACGGTTGCACGTGAGGGTGGTTTGCATTCTGCTTTTCTGAATCTACTCCTGGCACAGACCTGTTTCTTCCCCCATCATTCCTAGAACAGCAGTTGTGACATTAAATTACACTTTTAAACCTCTTAGGTTCATAAATTTGCCCGAAGAGAGGGCCAGCCCTGACCTGTGGCTGCTCACCCCAGCTGGGGGCAGGAGCAAAGCCCCCAGGCTGTGGTGGTGAAACAACCCCAGGGGCAGGTCACAAAGTGTTCACCAAACTCTCAGCTGTGAAGGAGATGCCTTTTAATTGAGACACTACAGATGATTATTGCTGCATTTCCAGCAGGATCCTGTTTTATGGAACTTACAATCCATCTGTTAAAAGGTTTAAAAATCATCTGCTTTGAGCACAGTCAGAGGCTTGTTTCCCCCGGCTTCTGGTCCCAGCAAGCAGATCAGTGAGTTGGGGGGGTGAGAGCATGAGGGTCTGTGGCTGCTGCTCACAGGCCCTTCCTGCCCAGGCACCCACACCCAAAAATGTTTGAACATGAACTTGGGGGGTCTGACGGGGTTGGGCTTTTTTTCCACGTGGGCCAGGATTTAGCCTGTTGGGCGTTTACATCCTCTCTCTGCTGCTGTGGCAGCGCAGATGCCAGGAGCGTCCTGTTGCAGCCTGTGGGGCAGGCAGGGCTCCTTCTCTGTGCAGCCTCTGCCGCCTCCTCCTCCTCCCAGGGGCTCTGGGTGCTCAAACATCCCATCCCAGAGTGTCCAGCTCGGGGGAGGACAGGCCCTCGGGCAGCCCCTTCCTCCTGCACTGGTGCCTGGCCCCACCTTGGTGTGGGGTGTCCCGGGCCCAGTTTCCCCAGCACCGAGGAGCTGGGGATTGTGGCTGAAAGCAGGTGAAGGCTGATCTGGGGGATGGGTGTCCAGCACAGGCTGTGGCCAGCTGGGGCCTGTCCTCAGCTGTTCTTTGCCCCTTTCCCTGCGGGGTCTGGCTCAGAGTTGTCGGTCTCCGAGAGGAGCAGGTAGGAGCTGATGGCTTCCCGCAGGCCCAGGCTGAAGGGGGAGTCCTCCGGAGGGGATGCGTTCTCCGAGAGCAGGAGGGAGCTGCTCGGGGCAGATGGGGCAGTCAGCAGGCGGCCCCCAGAGCTCGTGGGTCTGGCAGGGCTGTGGGAGCCCCAGCTCCTGCCCTGGATGTCCTCACCTGTCGATCTTGTCCCAGTGCAGCGACGGTTTCTTGACGAGAGGCGGTGTTGGAGCCGGGGCCGCCCTCATGCCGTCTGTGGAGCAGGGCTGGCTGAGGGGGCAGCACAGCCCCGCGCTGAACTCTGGGCACGGGGCCAACAGCATCAGCATCGGCAGCCCCCGGGCACCTGGGCAGGTGGGGCTGCCACCTTCTCCCCCTCCCTCCCTCCGGGGCACGGGGCATCTCCCCACACGCACGGCTCAGGGTGCTGGGGCGGGTGGGGCATTACCAGAGTAGTGGTCCACCAGGCTGTGCAGGCTGGGGAAGGTGAGCCCGGGGGAGATGTAGATCCAGCCGTTCTCCAGCCGGTGGATGCGGTAGTGAGTCACCGAGGCCCAGGCAGCGCGTTCCCCGCGGCGCAGCGACAGTGAATAGCAGCCTGGAGGGCGCGGGGCCGAGGGCTCGTGGCTGGGCTGCCCTGGGCACCCACCCCGCCCCACCGCCCTGCCTGGGTTCTCTTACACCCTGCGGGGCTCTGCCGTCACACAAGTGGTGTCACCCTTCTCCTCATGGAGCTCTGCATCCCTGTGCCAGCCCCGTGCCGTGAGGACCTCCAAACCAACCCGGGGATGGGGGAGGGCTGGGACATCAGATGTCCTTGGTGCCTCAGCCATCTGCACCACGGCACCCGGCACAGTCTCCCTCACAGGGTCCCCTTGGTGTGGCGGGGCCCTGTTTCATTTTGTGGGCTGAGCTTTATCACTTCCCTTCGTAACCCAAAGCTGTAGGAAGCCGATGGTGGTTTGTTCTTTTGAGGCCCCGTGGCAGGGGCTCAGCACAAAGGGAGAGAGCAGCAACACCGAGGAGCAGCCCGTGGGGAGGGCCATTGCCAGGAGGTGTGAGCGAGGGTTCCCTCCCCCTGCTCCTTGGCAGCCCACGGGGGAGGACTGGGAGGGGAACAGGAGCCGGCCCGAGGGCTCTCACCTCGCCTGGTCTGGCTCTCCCGTATCAGGAAGGACCCGCTGTGGTTGCCTGGACGGAGCAGCAGCTCCCCCGCCTTCTGCCGACTGACGCCCTCGTACAGCCACCTGTGCGGGCAGGGGCGCTGGCAGGGACCCCAGGGCACAGCTCGGGGTGCAGCAGCACATGTCCTGGGGACACTCCAGCACGCCGGGCCACCTCCCCCAGCCCCAGCACTGCTCCACGGCCCGGGGGGAGACGCAGGGCAGGAGGTCCTGGTGCAGTGGCCAGGGTTTGGCCTTGGGATTGGCCACATTCTGGCGGTGGGGCCGTGTCCCCGGGACCCTCCCTGGGACAGACCCCACCCAGCATTTACCCGTGCCTGATCTTGGCCACACAGCTGCTGGGGACGTGGCATTCCTTGCCAGACACCTCGGACACCACCAGCCACCACTCGCCGTCCCTGCAGGGAAGAGGGATGACCTGGCCTGAGGGACTGGGGCTGCAGGGTGCGGGAGGAGACCCGCAGGGTGGATGCCACGAGTGTGGCCCCACGGGCTGGACGCTGGTCAGCTCTCACTTGGTGCGGAGACTTACTCGGAGAGGATGCGGAGCTGCTCCCCCATCCTCAGCACAGCGGCCACCCCCGCGCCGGAGGGGAAGTCACAGAGGGCCAGGGCCTGGAAACTGCTGGGGGCTGCAGGGAAGGTGAGAGGGCTCAGAGTTTCCCCCGCAGTGCCAGCCCCAGCTGGGGCGGGAGGACCCGGCACGAGGTGGGGGTTGGCCCAGCACTTACCTGCCTGGGCCGGCAGCGGGGGCTGTGTGGTGTCAGCAGATGCTGATGGGATGCTGAGCGGCTTCTCCCGGCCAGGCAGATTCCCCATCCCTGGGGTTCAGCCCCTGGGCTGCTCTGTCTGGGAGGGATGGAGGGCCTCAGACTCATGGGTCACATCCCCCGCCCTGTGTCCTGGGCAGGGCATTTCCATGGGATGATGCCAACACGGTCCAGGGCAGGGCTTTGGGCTGGGGCTGAACCTGGCCGGCAGCTCCCGGGGGAGCCCTTCAAGGAAACCACCCTCCCACCACCACAGAGGGTGGGATGTCTGGGGACTGCCCAGGATGGGGCATCTGCAGCCTCATGGGGGACAGCCCCTGGCCAGGCTCACTCTCTGCATGCTGCCATCCCACCCCAGCCCCCTGTCCCCCAGGGCCTGGGGCACCTATCCCAATGCCCCAAGCTGCTGGTCCCCAGGGGGATTCAGGGACTGTGGAAAACACCTGTTCCAGTTCCTTGACTGTGGAGAGGTGCAGTTGGAGCTGTGTGTGACCCGGACCCATCCCGGGCTCAGCTCCCCTCCTTCCCTGCCCTGACTCTGTTCCTGCTCTAGCGAGAGGTGAACGCCACTTACCTGCCTTCCACTGCTGTTACCATTATTTGGGTGCTGTCAGGCCCGAGCAGCCATCGGCCAGCTCAGCCCTCCAATCATGGTGGAGCCTTGGGACACCAGGGTGCACGGGGACCCTCTGGCACAGTGGGTGGCAATTGCTGCCCTTGCCAGACCCTTTGGTCCACCCTCAGCCCGCTCCAGGGCTGGGTGTCGGGTCCCAGCGCTGGGGCTGCTCCCAGCGGTGCTGCCGTGAGGGCTCTGAGGTGCTGCAGCTGCGGTTGCTGCTTCCTGTGACGTGCACACACTAGACCGGGTTTCTCCTTTTCACTCAGTCCCAGGTCGCTCAGCTGAGCTCCCTGGGGCCCTTGGTGTGGGCACCAGGCCCAGGTAAATCCCTGTGGGCACTCAAGGTACTGGGCATTGCATGGGATTTGTGGGTGGGCAAGTGGGAGGGATGGGTAGCACATGAGAGCGGGAGCAGAGCTGACACCAGGAATTGTAGGCTGAGCTGGACATGCACCATCCCCAGGGTGGTCTTAGTGAAGGGGGGGATGTCCCAGGGTGTCTCCTCACCTGCAGCAGCACCAGGGCCAGATACTGCCCTCAGTGGGTGAGTGGTGCTAGATGTGCTGGGCAGAGGGCGGTGGTTGGGATGCTCATGGGCATGCACAGGTACCTTGCTAGACAGCACTGCCCCAGAGCCAGCACTGCCCACTGTGCCCACCCCAGGCTGGGTTACGGGTGGGAGCAGCCCCAGCTCTGTCCCATCCCCACCCTCAGCCCATCCAGGCCCAGCAGCTGCTGCTGGTGTGGGACCATTCGTTGCCCAGACTGTGTGTGTGGACCATCCACCTTTCAAAGCACACACTGCTTGGCTCAGCCAGCACCACCTCCGCTGCCCCCATGCCCCCCGCCCGTTCCCCTCCTGCTTCACCCCCCGAGGTCAGGACCCTTTGATGCACACAAACATCCACCCCCCCAATCCTGCCCTGAGGAAGGTCCTTGGGATTTGCTGCATAGCTCATGGCCCAGCTATGCAGTGTGGACTGTGTGTCCCCCCCCCCGCCATTTCCTGCCGTGTCCCCGCTGTGGGAGCAGACACTCGGCAGCCTCCTGCCACAGCTGCACGTCCTGCTACTGTTTGTGCTGAAACTTGAAAGTTTCTGGTCAGCTGTAACTGCCTTGACAGTGTAAAATGCACTTGAGTTCAACAGGGCTTCTGGGCCTTGTGCTGCTCTTGGGGCTCAGGACCCTCCCCCAAGCCTGCCCTGAGCTCAGGCAGTGCTGTTTTGCAAGAGGTTGATTATGTTTGGGAGAAGATTCAATCGCTCTTGGAACTGGTGGTGCAGCACCATTGGGGTCCTTTTGGATGCAGGGGACAACCCTTGGTGTGCCATGACCTGCCCTACCCACCTCCAAGCCCTGCTCTGGGCTCAGGGTTAGAAAATAAAATAGGGCCCCAAGTTCCCCTCCCCAGCCTGAAGTGGGTAAAGTGGCTTTCTGGCAGCACGTGGATTTCTGGGTCAGCACAGCCTCCCCAGCAGCTGAGGCCCTGCAGCCCCCACGCAGAAACCTCAACCCATGGCTGCAAGTCACACTCTTCTATCAGTGACCCCGAGCTCTGCTCAGCCAGACTCACCCTGTGCTGCTGAAGGAGACACTTAACAACACAGAAATTTGGCATCTTGGGCTGGACGTGCCACTGAATGAACCTGCCCCAAGGTTTTAAGCAATTGGGAATTCAGTGCTAAGGGAACGGGAGCATGGGAAAGTGCTGGCTCCCTCTGCCTGTCCTTCCCTGGCTGAGCCCCCTCCACTGGGGCACCCCAGCTCCCAACAGCAGAAAGAGATCAGGGAAACACTCCACCATTTTATAGGGACTTACTCCAAACTCCCTGCTGTTCCTCAAGGGGTGGGAATGCCCATCCATGCCCTGCAGCCAGTGGCATCCAGCTCACACCCTAGCAGCTGGGTGGGTTCAGGACCCCAGCCCAGGAGAGGCCGTCTTGAGCTCAAGCTCCTTGCCTGGATTTAGTTGGTGTTGTTCATGCTGCCCAAAGAAACACTGTCCTTTACTAAACTAATTTCTCACCTTGTATTTTGCTTTGATTTTTTTACCTTTTTAACAGGAAAAGCACTTGCTTATGTAAAACCAAGTTTACTGTTCCTAGTTATTCTTGGGTAATAAAATCTATGGCAACCATCACTACAGATCTTGCCTTGCTTCTGCCTGTGAGCCACCATGGCAACAGCACTCCCTGCTAAATCACTCCTCTTCCAAATTGCTAAAATCTCATCTCTGTATTAAGCTGGGCTCCTAGTCCAGGAGCAGCCTGGAGCTTGGTGCTCCACATCATCAGGAACAGCACTTGCCAAGCTTGCACCTTCCCCTGCTGCAGGATCATTTCCTCTGACTCATTCCCCTGTCATTTAAATATTGTGTTTCCTTTTTTTTGGGCTGGAGACAGGACAGTTCCTGGGTGCAGCCCGCTGGCATTAGATCCCAGTGCTGCACTGGCTCCTCTCCTGGTGCTTTTCATCCAGCACCTGCATCCAGAGGCGCTGAACTTCCTGCTGTGCCTGGGGCCAGGTCTCCTCGATGGTCTCCTGTCTCCTTTAGATTCAAATGCCTTTTTGTGCTCATCCCTTTGTACTGCTACTACTCATTCATTGACACAACTGGCCAGGGTTTCCCATTTCTCAGCTGTCATTCAGTGTGCACTTCAGAAGAACACTTTGTCTCACTCCTGCAATGACCTCCCCCAAAGGTCTCATAGACAGTCCAGGCAGGATCCCATCCCACAGTACGACAGTGAGACTGGGACTAACTTGTGCCCAGCACCGTAACCCTGCTCCAGCCCCAGTGGGCTCTCCATGGATTATGGTGACACCTGACAGCAGGGCAGATGTGCCAACAGACATCCTGCTGCCACCCAAACTGCCCTCTGCCCTCTCGTGTCATGGCAGTGGCCTTGTCACAGGTTTGCAGGTTAACTCTGCTCCAGGGAGGGCAGGGGGCTCTGAGCACTGCCTGTCAGGAGGTGGTTCTTGCCTGTGTTGCAGCAAACCTGTTGTTTTGTCTCCGTTCCGGATGTTTCTAGTTGCATTTTGGTAGAGGCCAGCTCTCTCCAGCGCCCTTGGACAGCCTCTGCCAGGGGCCACTGAGCCACCAAACACATTGTCCCAGTGCAGAGGTGCCCAGTCCTCTCCCTGCCATGAGGAAGAGTTTGCCTCTTGCTGCAGGAGACACCCAGACTGGCAAACTCAGAGGGGTGCAGGTTGCCAAGAGAAACACCAGGAGCACACGGGGTAACAATGAAACTCAGTTAGTTATAGCTTTATTCAATAACTGGTACAAAGTTCCCCTCAGGCAGAGCCTCCCGGTCCCATTCCCTACCTGAAATGGAGCAGAATGTGAGCGTGACCCTGGGAGGAGTTGGCTCCCAGAGGGTCAGGGCTGGTTAGCAGTGAGGAAAGGATGTTTTGCTCATCCATCAAGACCTGCAGCAGCCTGACCACTCATCCCTTTTCTCCCATTAACACCAGACCCTGGCATGCAGCAGGTATCTGCTGTTGACCCTTGGTGACCCGGCCAGGTGTAAAAAGGCAGCAAAATTGTGAATCCCACAAAGACAGTAAGTAGTACCTGCATAGAGTGTTCACTGCTCACCCTTCTGACCTGACTCACAGGAATGTGTCATTGCTGGTTGTCACTTACATTCCTGCCCTCAGGTAACTGCACCCTGTGCAGACCCTGCCTGGGCAGCAGCAGTGGGAGGCAGAGCTGGCAGTGCAGGAGATTCTGGGATCTTCACCTGGCAAGGGGCACTGCTTCCCATTTCACAACCTGCTCAAGGTTAAAGATTCACCTGTGCCAGGGTAGAACAGTGACGACGTGTCACTGCGTCCTGCCCTTCTGCCGAGTCAGCAGAGGGTTGTGGAGGTGGTCTGGGAGCCAGGGCTGCTGGAGTTTAATCCCTTGTACTTGGTTAATAGTGCACCTTGTTAGTGGAAGTTTACTGGTAAATTATTTGCTCTTTCAGGAGGCTCAGGTAAGAAATCACTCTGCTCCTTCTTAACACACACACAGATGAGATCAAGACAGTATTCCTGACCATTTGTTTTTCTCATGGCTGCCTGGCATGTGGGAACACACAGACCTTCCAGTGGGCTCTGTGCCCCAGGCACAGCTCCATACAGAGCACTGCCTGCTCCAACACCTGGAGTGCCACATCCTTGTGGTCTTGCTTTCCCACGTCCCACCGATGCCATACCAACTGCACCACAAGGGCCCTTTAGCAGAAGCACAACTAGAAAGCAATTCTAAACCTCACAAAGCCACAGAAATTATATTTAAATGAAGAGGGGAGACAACGGCTGTCATCTGGATTGATACACAGCACAGACAGGAGGTGGCATCAGCATGTACAGTAACGGGACTTACTAAGACCGCGGAATGTCAACGAGTTTTAAAGAGGCTCTGATGCCAAGGGAAT